GGGCTTAAGTGGAGAGCAAATGTTTTGAGAATGATGAGGGCAATGAATGTACAGTACAAATGTGCTTTACACAATTGATGTATAAATGGATTGTGATAAAATTTGTATGAACCCCTAATAAAATAATTTAAAAAAATAATTGGGATCATGATAGTGGGGGGGCGTGGAGGAAGCATTTAAGAACTAGAGGAAAGTTGTATGTTCCATCGTTGCTACCCTACACCCTGAGTGGCTCGTCTCCTCCCCGCAACCCTTCTGTAAAGGGATGTCCAGTTGCCCACAGATGGGCTTTGGGTTTCCAATCTGCACTGCCCCTCATTCACAATGATATGATTTTTTTGTTCCTTGATGCCTGATTTCTATTTTTTTAAAGTAGTTTTCTTGATATAATAACCACATATCAAACATTTCCATAGTTAAATCATTTTTTTAAAGAACTGTGTGTAAATCATCACCACCGGTTCTGAAACTCTTTATAGGAGATGATTGGGGAACCTGTTGCAGTGGTCTGGACAAGAGGTATCATTTAGATGTTAGCAATGAAGCTAAAACAAGGGAGCAAGGGAAGAGGTATTTTGGAGGTAAAGGATCTGGTTGGCTATGGCATAAAAAAAGAAAAAAGATGGCAAAACGTTTCAGCTTTGCGACACTAAGGTGTAAGTAAGACTGGGGTTATTGGCCTGACGAGCACATGAGATGAATGTAAACTGGTCCAAGGCTTTCCTTATTCTTACAGGTCAAGGAAATACTGCAAAATCTCTACCTTTTCACGAATCGGTCTGTTCCTGCCCTTTCCACCAAGATAGCAGTAGTAGTCTCTGCTGTGCCTTAGGTTTTCCTGCCTTGTTAATTCTACGTGTGAAGTGCCCTCCATTCAGAGATTAGAATAGTACTTAACAGGAAAGGTCTTTCTAGGGCTCAGCGTCAGAAGTTCACTTCCCAAGTCAGGTTGTTTTATGGTGTTGATGTGAGGGAAGTAAAGCGTTGGAACATGGTAAGTTCGAATTAGTCAAATGGAATAGAATGAGTAGAACCAATGATGTTTTCCAACCCCCGCCCCCTTTGACATTCAAACTCTATCAAATAGGCTATAAGTTGAGGCCAGGGTTGAGTGCTATTCCACATTCTTAAAGATGACCTGAAAAAGTAAACCAGCCACTGTGTCACCACTCACCTGTCAGTTGGTTGTGCTTGTTCGTGGCTTGTGTGTTCTACAGCAATGCTGGAATCTAGGATAAGCATTTCAAATATAGCAGGGCCACCCATGATGAGTGGGTTTCAGTGGTGTTTCCAAACTAATAACAGATTAGGAAGAAGGGCTAGGCAATCTGCTCCTGAGGGATTAGCCATGTGCATGTATTGTGAAGAGCGAGGGAACACTGTCGTCTCTGGGACTGGGAGAAGAGCCCCTCAGGTGGGAGGCAACCAAAATACGACTGGGGAAGAGCTGCCTCCTTGAAGTAAGTTCAACACCAATGGCATGGATAGAGCAGAGCTTCGGGGACCTTCACCTGCTGACGGGGCATAACGCAAGATGAAGGTGTGCAACATAGGAATCTAGGAGTTAGTTTTCAGAAATGAAATGGAGCATGTAAAGTTTGATCCGAGGCATTTGTGAGTTGAAACGGACAGCTATAGAATTTATTCTGCCAGGGATGTCATCTATAAGAGGAAAGACGTTGTATTAATCATCTCCATGTCCATTTGAAGTACAATATTATCTGTGAATGGTAATATCTATGCACTAGTAAGGAAAACCAGTCAATACAACTATCATAAATTCAAATTTAAGCACCAACGAATAAAAGAAATTGAATAATTCTACTAGATTCTTCAGTCTGAAATTGAGCAAACATGAAATCAGGATGCATTGATAATTACTAGTGATTAGAATTTGAAAATTGGAAACAAAGAAGAAGGTTCACTAGTTGGAAAATATCGCCTTGGTGATAGG